GGTAAAGGAGCGACAAGCAGGAGCACGACACTCGCCAGTCCCACATCGCGGTAAAGGAGCGACAAGCAGTACCACGACACTCGGCAGTCCCACATCGCGGTAAAGGAGCGGCAACCAGTACCACGACACTCGCCAGTCCCACATCGCGGTAAAGGAGCGACAACCAGTACCACGACACTCGCCAGTCCCACATCGCGGTAAAGGAGCGACAGCCAGTACCACGACACTCGCGAGTCCCACATCGCGGTAAAGGAGCGACAGCCAGTACCACGACACTCGCCAGTCCCACAATCGCGGTAAAGGAGCGACAAGCAGTACCACGACACTCGCCAGTCGTACATCGCGGTAAAGGAGCGACAACCAGTACCACGACACTCGCCAGTCCCACATCGCGGTAAAGGAGCGACAGCCAGTACCACGACACTCGCGAGTTTCACATCGCGGTAAAGGAGCGACAACCAGTACCACGACACTCGCCCCGAAACTCTCCGCTGAACGACAACGCTAACGACTGTGACCGCACCAGCAATGCGATGGCCATTAGCGGTGGGTGGACCGGCGTCGTTAACCCTTACCAATGGCCTGTGGAACGCAATCAGCCGGCGGCCGGCGCGCGCGTGCCACACGCCATGCCCCGGGGGCGCGGGCGCGATTGGCTCCGCTGGCCTTCACCCGATGCATGCGACCTTGCGGCGCGTCGTGACTGCGACCGAAGGACCAGTGGTGGCGACCTCACGACTGCTGTGATGGTTGTGATAAGGTCGCCATCCGGGTTGGTGACCGGGGGCGACCGGTCGCCGGCTGGTGACCGGTGACCGGCAGCCTCCACCATCGGCTCCCCGGCCGATGGCTGGCTCTCTGCCGTGGCGTCGGTGCGCGGCTGAGGAGAAGTTGGCGGGTCAGTCACGATTTGGTTCGGATGGGAAGGGACGGACGCGTTTCGATGCGCTGATGGCGGCTTGTCAGTTCCGTTATGGTTTCATAGCTTCTGTGCATTGGTATGCTAACTTGGGGCAAAGTTAGACCGTCTGCCTCCTTTTCTCGAATAAGTTTCTGTGAACATATTCGGGGTATTTTGAAATTGGAAGAAATTCGTGTCATGCCTACCCCTTCCTCACTATCCTTGACATGAGTGCGGACCTTCGCCTGGGCAGGCCACTGACCTGCCGGTATCAGCGACGCTTTGGGCAGGCACCTGAAAGTCGAGAACATAAAGGTGCAAAGGAAACCGGTTTTGTGATGCACAGATGTTTCTATTGCGTTTTTTTTTATAAATTCCTCTGTTAGTTCAACTCATGACCGCTTTCTTAAGGTTTTTTTTTGTTGTATTGCATTTGTCTTTGACTTCGCTATCCATGAGTGATGTCACGGTCGGTCATGACATGTGACACGTGACTCATGACACACCTCACCCCAGTCGATGGGCCATGGCAGTAAGCCCAGTTGGTTGCATTCAACGATTGATATTGACGCCTGTCAGTAGCGTCTGGAGGCGCGGCTCCTCTGGGAGCTGGAGCGCAGTAATAAAGCTTACTGATAACACATCGTGCTGACCATCGGATACAGATGACGCAGCAAAACCGGCGTGACCGTATTCTTTACAAAATCAGTAACTATGGCTTGGGGGTTATAGTGTGCGCCGTTTAGATAATTATGGATTCACTGGGACTGCTTGCGTCTGCGAGTTATCCAAAGTAACAGCTCAATCCAAATGTTCAGTTCAATCCTTACGTATCATTTAATCCGGGTATCCAATCCATCCAAAGCCAATCCAAATAATCGCTTGATGAGCACCTAATGTTGCAAGGAAACGGCACCAGACTGCCCGTGTCGAACTTTCGTCTGTCACATCGCACTGCCAAGGCTGGAAGTGTTCTGGCGCGTTTAATGAAGTTCATTACGGCTTTCATTGTAGCCTAATCATGGGCATTCAGGCGGGGCCATCAGATATCACGGTGCGGACGTTTTGTGAGAGGGTTGTTGATGGACGCTGTTGAAATGTGTTGTGCAGCGTCGTGCGCAAGAAATTCAGTCCGTGTGCTTTATAAAAATACGTGTCGTCAAACAGATTCATGCTGCGGTTTAGGAGTGACGCCGTCTTACACGAATTTTTTGTTGTTCAACGTGGTTTGGGTCCCAAATTTGGTGAAAGTGAAAGTATCCAGATTTGGCATGAAAGGAAGTCCTTAGCACCAGATGCCCGCTTAATTGCGATAAAAATGCAGCCATTCTGCTGGTAGTGCTCATTGCCGAAGATTAAGATAGCAAGGTGCACAAAGACACAGACAATGAACAATACGATTGTATGACAATGTCCGGATACTGCTTCTGCGTAGGAAAGGTATTTTAGAGACAGCCTAATATCAGGTCCGCGCACACATGGCTGCTAAGATGAATGATTATTGAGAGGCCATGCCACCATGCCAACGTTCCTCAAGAGACGCCCCCCTCTTTACACGCAAGTAGTAGTCGGCAGCTTAACCAAAAACTATCGGTGTGCGGAACATCAGTGCGGAGTGTCGCAGAAGACAGACTGGAGAGCAAAGCATAATTAGATGGCGTGTCTGCGTGAAGCCCATACCTACCTAGCGTTTCCCAATCCTCGAAATCCTGCCTTTCCCCATGTCTGCGTGACGCGCCACTACCACTACCAGATCGTCTGCCTCTGATCCCACCATCTATCCTTCGAATCGCCATGGCGGAGGTGCGACAGCCGACGTGTGACGCCGACGCCTCCCCGCGCCATACGCCGCCAGCCGTCGCCCCGGGGCTGGTTTAACACGCTCATTTGGCAGCCGGATCTGGCAGCCTCGTCGGCGCCGGCGACCGAGGGCGTCGGCGTGTCGTGGCCCGGTGCCAGGCGGCACTGTATTTACCCAATCAATAATCATTTACGGCGCCCGGCCGGCCGGGCCGCACGTTATGCCCACGTTGTCCATCGGCGGCGGTGACGTCAGCGGTTTTTAGCGGCCTCGACCTGCCGCTGTGCCCCGCAGGAATGTGGCGGCAGCGAGGGGGGCAGGGGAGGGGGGGTCGTGAGTATGACCTGCTTTGCTTCGGGACGAACTCGTTCGTTGGCGGCGACTGAGGTGAAACATGGAGGACAGCGCGACCATTGTGTCAAGGAACCTGACGTGGGAACATAAATGATACTGGCTTAGCCAGTTTCCTGGAAAACATGAAATACAAGCCATCGAGATTACGAATATAAAACCATTTATCTACCATGTAGTTATGCATACTAATTTATGTTCTTACCACGCACTGAGGCATTAACAAGTTCGTGCTGATGTGCTTGCTTGCCAGGATATGGCAAGCTGTCTGAATTCCGTTTTTAATTACCACCGACGATCGATATTACGACCAGATCTCCCTGTTTGCGCTCGCCACCGCGTGCAGTCGGCCAGGACACACTCGCAGATGCACACGTCCGCCGTTGCCATGGAGACGTCGGCGCGGCCGGCCATCCATCCATCAGCGGGGTTTTTGCTGTCCGTTTCGGTTCGGTCACAGGCTGGCGGCCACGGCAGCGCGCCGCTGACGGCATTACCCACACCACTCGGCGCGCGCTACGCCCTAATGCACCGGCGAGGCTGGCTGGCGCTCGGCGGCCGGCCGGGCCCGCGCGCTGCGGCCGGGCCCGCGCGCTGCGACCGCGCCCGCGCGCTGCGGCCGGGCCCGCGCGGGTGCGGCCGCGCAGGGTGCGGTACGCGCTGGGCTGCCCGGCGACGGACTGATATCGCGGGGGGATGCTGTATGTGGGGCGGTTCCGAATAACAAGGCGCATGCGCTCTTCCAGCACCGGGACGGTGGATAGTTTCATGTGCTTCACATGCGAATGAGTTGGACTCCGCGGTGAAATGTGGTCTGTGTTCCAATCCGGGGATCATTTGATGCATTTGTGCATCCACAGAGATATGCATGCTTCCTGTGGATGCACGCCCTGGAAGATGGCAAGTAAAACGTCGTGTTAGCAAGTGGAGTCTTTATTCGGAAGAACACAGACAGTTATGATCCGGTCCCGAAAAGCGTTTCTAAAGCAGCAGTGCTTCTACGGTGGCCCCACAGTTGCGAAATCGAGCAGCTTCTCTCTGAAGGATGAACCATACGCCCGTTTGAGATGCACCGCCACCAAGACTTACTGACAGCCCCTGACATGAGGGCCCCATCCCCTGCACGAGGCGCACTGACACCAGATCCTCTGATGCCACGGCGCCCAGACGGCATTAAATCCTGACTGTCCCTCTAACCACCTGCTATCCATCCCTGCCCAATTATATTCCAGGCATAACGCGCCGCCCATCCATCTCCTCGCACGGGCCACACTGATTCCCCGCGCCCCCTCCCCCGGTCGCCGCCGCATGCGCCGTAATGAATTTGTCATGTCAACCGACGACGTCTGGGCGCTACTCCTATCACAAAGCGCCGCTAAAAATTAGCCCATTTCACGTGCGGCCGGCGGCCCACGTGGCCGGCCGGCCTGTCACTCAGGCGACCGGTCGGGGGTCGGGGGGTCACGGCGGCGCCCTCTGAAGGGGCCGCGCCGCCGCCGTATCGCTGACACGGGCGGCAGCGGCGGCGGCGGGGACGGCGCGCGTCGCCGCGTATTGAAACTGTCAGCCTATCGCCGACGATCGGTCACGTGACATTTGAATGGTCGGCGGTTTCAATTAAGAGGTTGTGTGGTGCGGGGTGTGCGCGTCCTGGTCAAATTAGACGTGAACGCGCTGCTGTCCCCCGCTGGTATTCGTGGCTTTCCGAATGGCGGGAACGGGTGCAGAGGATGGGGTGGTGGAGTTTGGAAATGGAATCTGGGGGTGGGCTGTGGAACTGGCGTCTAGGAATGTGGTCGGCAGTTATCATGTCCTGTGTGTAGTTGAAGAAAAATCATTCCATCATGTGCAGGGGCTGATATCTGTGTATCCACTAAACGTCACCCTGATTCACCGTCCTTTCAGATATGGGGATATGGTGCTAACCGTCCGTTCTCTCCGTTCCAGCAGCAAAGTCGGAGTTCAGCTATGCCGGGGGCGCCAACAACACGGGCCGGACGAACTTCAGCACTAAACAGCTGACGGAGCTGGAGAAGGAGTTCCACTTCAACAAGTATCTGACGCGCGCGCGGCGCATCGAGATCGCCACCGCGCTCACCCTCAACGAGACCCAGGTCAAGATCTGGTTCCAGAACCGGCGCATGAAGCAGAAGAAGCGCATGAAGGAGGGCCTGGTGCCTTCCGAGCCGCTGACCCAGACGCCGACGGCGGCCGCCGGCTCCAAGGGCGACGGCGGCGACGACAAGACGTCGCCGCTGCAGACCAAGACCGAGTCGTCGACGCCGCCGCTGTCGCCGCAGTGACGTACGGGCGCCTAGGGCGGGCGGATTCACGGGCCGCGCGCGGGCCTGGGGCCGGTGGGGCTCGCGACCGCGCGCCACTGGGGCCGCTGGGAACTCGCGGCCGCGCGCCAGCGCCCAGGGACGGCGAGACTCGCGGGCCGCGCGCGGGCCCGTGGCGATATCAAAAGTGCGTTGCGCGTGAGTGCGCGCGAGCGTGAGCGGACGTGCCAGAGGCGGATCCAGGCAGCTTTAAGCTCGCGCGCTGAACGGCCGTATGGTGCCGTGGCGCCGATGGTTGGCGGGGGCATGGGAGGCCCGCCAGCTCCGGGTACATGAAACTCAGGGATTTTCGCAAACGACGGATATCAAGCCTGGTATTTATTTCGTCTCGGATGGTGCAGTGATACGTGTGCGCGAGGAGCGATGCAGACACCTATTGTAAATGAATGTATGTGTGTAGGCAAGAATACCTATTTTGTTTTACGTATAGGAATTTTAATTATTTACCGCGCTTCTCACCCATGGTGTTTTCAAATCTTCTTATTCGCCTTCGATAGTCTTAGCACTAAATTGATAACTTATGTATTTATGGCGATGTTTCCGTGAAATTTTCCCGATTTCCTCCGGCGCCTCCGGCCATGACCATCTGATGCAATAGCGCTAAGTCAACTCCATTTTGGTAACTCTGTCTATCGTGATCGTGTAAGATACTCATCCTGCTCAGCAAAATGGTGACGACTGGGTTCCCATGGTAGGCTAGTCCCGTTGTTGTTTTTGAACCGTGACTTCAGTGACCAACCACTCTCTGGGTGGGACGCTGGCGGAACAGCCGCTGGCGCGCTGGAGCGCTAGCGCCGCACGAGCTGGGATAGCTTTTACGCCGACTTCGCTCAACCGGCTCGCGCCACAAATTGCGTCATTGGACGAGCGCCGTGGCCGCCGGAAACGCCAGCGAGGTTGAGTCGACAGCGAACACTATGTCGTCTCACGAATGCCCATTGAGCGCCGCAGCCCGTCTCCGGTGCGCCCGACCCCACTTATCCCTGACGTGCTCTTCTGTTGTGTTTGTAAATACGACTGTGTCTGTTGCAATGTCAATATTCCTCATGGTCACAATACGATGGAAATCCTGCAAGAATGCGTTTTTTTTGCGGCGCCGGCGGACGGCGGAAGCGCAACAAAGGCCGCGCCGCGCTGCAAAACCGAGCGCGCGCGCCGCGTCGGCATGTCGCGCGGCAGACCGCCGCGCCCGCGCCAGCGCGACAGCCGGGCGCGGCGGCCGTATGCAAAGCGGCTGTTCGGGCTGGGCACGGCTCGGCGGGCCTTTCATCTGCCCCGGGCGGCAGGCGCGCGTCCAGGGGAAGGCGGGGCGGAGGACGGGGTCGGGCGTCTGGAGGTGCAGGTGTGAAGCGGCGGTTGATGTTGGTGGAGCATCAGGACTCGTGCTGGGTCCGCCCATGGAAAGCGTATGTTGGACGTTGTCAAGCACGCTTCAAGTGCAGGGCTATGTGATGCCAGTGACAAGCTAACAATAGCGTGGGGGATGTACAGGATGTATTGGCAAGTCGTGTTCGAAGATGACCATTTGCCATTGTCCACACGGGCCAGCTGGTCACATTCCAGGATCAGATGCAGACGAAGTGACCGGAAAATCACTCCCTTTGTTTTGCAGAACATTACATATGTCCGGCTGGCGCAAACGGGTGTTCGCGCTCGAGAGAAGCGTCGATAAGACATTTCGTCATTTTTACATTTTGTTTTATAAACGCTAGGCCCAAGCTTGGGTGTCTTGGCGTGTTATATTTGTACTGGCATATTGACGTACTGGATGCGATAACTAGTTCATTTATGTGGTCGATCGCGGTTATTTACAATCGGAGCAGATCGCACAGGATAGCCTTTTGTGACTATGATCGTTCCAAACGTTTAAGTTACAAACCACACCATTCACTTCAGTTCACATGTCAACAAATGAGAAATCTGGTGAAACTATCGCACAACCACGATGAAGATAACACACAGAAGACAGCGTAAAAGAACCATAAGCAGGACGAAGGACGCGTTGCGAGGCGCAAATCACATCATTAGTTTTCTCCTCCTCTCTTGCCAATCGAGGAGTCTCCATGCCATCAATGTCTTGGAGATAAAAACAACTCAGATGAGAGCAATTTCTCTGAAATAAGTCCATTCTATACCAACGTCGGATAGCAGCCATTTTCTGCGCACACAGCCTAAACCAAGAATGGTCCGGCAGCGGGAATGTGTCTTCTGAATTACAATAATGCTTCCTAGTGGTTAACCAAAGCCTTACGGGTACCGGTCGCAGGCTGCCTGCGGCCGCAGACCGGTGGCAGGGTCGCGCTGAGGGTCTGATGATGTCAGAGGCCGGGACGGACCGTGCCGAGAATTGTGGCGCGGCGAGCTTCGGCCACTCAGTGCTGCAGTTTAGCTGGAATTTCACGATCGGACGGTATGGACCAGGACTCATCAACAAGCACTGCTTAGCGTGGGCTCTGATCCCAGAATCCAGCCATTCAAAAGGTTCGGACTGAGCATAAAAACGCTGCTTGCCTTTATTGGGTCGTGCATGAGGCCTTGTTCTGTGCCGTTAAAAGCGTTTGATCGGCTTTTTACCTCTAAGGTCAGACTGAAACCAGTGCACCACGCGACCGAAGCGATTAATTTGACTGCGACGCGCTGATAAATACTACAAAATAAACATCCACCTCCGCGAGAAGCGTCCCTCAACAACCAGAAACACCTCCATTCACATCCAGGCTGGCGAGATGGCAGCGCGGCGGATTGAGTCGTCCGCGCCGCAGTTCGTCTCCGGCACGGCGGCGTTGTCTACAATCGATGGCGGGGCCGGCCGGCGCTCCCGCGAGCGTCGCCACAATGCGGGGCAGCAGCGGCGGCCCCATCCATTACGGCGGTGACACCGGCCGAACTTACCACTCTTTATCCCATCTGACCGCCTTTGTCGCCGGCTGACGCATTATTTTTGACGATCGCTGCGCACGGCCGCCGCGTCAGCTGACGCCGCGTCAAGGGGTGCTCGACGCGCGGCGAGCCGACGCCCGAGAGGTCGAGGGTCGCCGTCAGAGGCGCACCGAGCAGCTTGAGAATAGGATACGTCCGAAGATGTACCTTGACTTTGTTTGATGTGGAGATGTGGACGGAGACGCTGGAGGCAATGCTTGCTCAAAGGCAGTTCGGGTTGAGCTGAATATCTTGATCAATACATTAACCTGAGAATGATGTGTAGAATTACAAATGAAGGGAAATGTGGCCTTGGTAATACGTCTGCGTGGTCAGAACACAGGCCTTTGCACAGGAACATGCGGATCAGCAGCTCAGGGGTCTGATCGGCATGCATTTTGCATGATGCACCAGCCTTAGTATCGAACAGTTTAAACATTTTGCATGATCCAGCTCTCATGCACATTACGGTGATCTATCATTCGTGACAAGAAAAACCAATTTCTGTTACTATTTATGAATGCTGAGAAACTGAACCCTGCTGCTTGTCAACCTCCAAGTGCGCAATAAAAGGATTGCTGTACCCAGCAGCCGCGCTGCGCTATCATCTCATGCTGATACGGTACTGCAGGCTCTGGGGGTCCTCAAGGTGCTGGCAGTCCACAACTCAGCCGCGTCGTGGGCTCGGTGACCCGCTCCGGTGTGGTTCGGATAGCCATGTCTTCGCCGGTCATCGAACGTCAAGTGCCTACCAGGCGGAAGACATGCACATACCGTGCTTCCAAACACACACAACAGCGACGAAAACGTCAAGTCACGCAACCAGGGACAGTGAAAGTTTTACCAGCCAAGTTTTTCCGAGGGGAAGGAACAAGGAGGGTGTGTGGTGAGGAGGGAGGGGGGGGGGGGACTCCTAAGCAGATAAGCGAATCTTGTAGACGTCCTATCTCAACTACAGGATAATGTTTTTCTCGCGAATTTCGCCCGCTTTATATAAGGGGCCTCTAACTAAAGCATATATCACTGCATACGACATCCTCCTGTTGGGACCTCCAGTCTATCTAGTCGGGGTCTCTTCTTGGGCTGGCGGGGCTTTCTGTGCTGCTCGTGCGACCTCCTGTGTACCTTATGGTGACTTCTTCGGATAATCTGATGACTCCTGTCCACCAAAAGGCCCACATGATGGCCATGTAGAGCCTGCTACGGTGTCGATGTAGTCAGCTGTGTGCTTTAAGGTCCCTTCTTTTGTTTTGATGAACATAATGGGTTCTCCTGAAACTTCAACCGGCCAAAAATATATGTTTGCTTCCCCCTCCTGACAAATGTGAGGAAGCGGTTCCCTCTTGGGTTTCTGGTGGCGCCGCTCCTGAACAGAAAACATGACATATTAGTACCAAGATCAGTTTCGCGCGGTCCTGCGAGTTACGTCCTTGTGCAAGGACGTGCTGAATATGTACATTGGGGGGGGGGGGGGGGGGGGGGGGGGCGGTGAATGGGTAGGAAGGACAGGGCTCAAACTGAAAGTCTCTAAAAATCAAGCTTAGTGCGATGCATACACATTTTCTTGCGCGCCGTAAAACAATATTGCGTCCCCTCGATTTTTGTTTCCACGTGCTAACCTGAAATTTTTCACTTTTAGCAATTAGTCACGTGCATATCAATTCAGGACATCAATTTGGTAAGGGGAGAGGGGGCGCACGTGCTCCCGGGTCCTCTCATGCACGCTCCTGTGCTCGAGGGTATTTGTGCCTCCGTTTTGGTCCAGAAAATCGCCGAGTTTCATCACTTCAGGATCCCTTGGAAAACCATCGTCGTAATGCTTCCTGACAACAAACCTGGCTGCAGTTTTTCGACGAAGCTCGCAGCAATCCTCAATGCAATGCTTGCAGCAGGCTTGCGGCATTACTTTCGTCCTAAATCAAGACAACCAGGTGGTGGATAAGCATTTATCATCAAACCAATACCATCCCACTTATTTAACCGCTGACTGGACGCTGCGAGCTATCCAGGTCATCCATAGGCGCTGATTTACGTGTGTCTTCACGTTCCATCCATCCCTCTCTGTTGGCTAACTTCGAAACGCTCCACTATATGAAGTATCCCCGACCGTCGCCTTCGACACCGAAACGCCGGCACTTCATGTTTTCTCCAGCGGCCAGCTCCCGGGAGGCTCCCGTGTTCAGGCGGTGACCACACACCCTAGACCAGACGCCCCACCGATAGCGGGGGCGGCGTCTCCAGCCAGCCTTAATTCAGGTCACGCCCCTCGCTGGGAGGTGAGAACACGTCTCGAAGACCGGTGAAAGTGCGACGAGGCCCCCCGCCGCGTGGCCGGCCGGCCCTCGTCGCCCGCGGTGGCCCCCGCGGGCGTCCCCCCCCCCCCGCTCGCCAGCGTCGACGCGTTTTCCAAACGCTTCTTGCCCCCCGCCTGCCCGCTGCATCTGATGAAATCCTGATGTCCGGGTCGGAGTCGATGGCCGGCCTCGGATAGCTTTCCAGCGTGGGGAAGGAGCAAGCGGTGTGACGACGGGCATGTTTTGGATGTTGTTTTGTCGTACCTCAAAGCAAGGGCGTGGGAAATCCAACTTTAAATCAATCGTTTCACGCATATATATCTTAAACCATCAAGGGAAGTGTGGAGCCACAGCTGCCGGCTCGTCTCCCTCCCCTTTCCACCCACCCGTGTATTTGCGCCTACGCCTCAACCGCGGCAGCCGTGGAAAGAATGCAATGACGGTTTGTAGCCATGAGTATAGAGCTCTTATGTTGAGTTACGGCCTGAAACACACCAGGAGGTACTGTTTGAATGACGTTGAGGTGCTAAATAACAACGATATGACCAATGCTCAATATACCGAGTTGTGGTCAACATCAAGAGCGTCCTCGAAGTCACTGTTGCGAGTGAGCACATTTCGAAATATGAAGTATCGTCAACATATTTGCTACTTTGCACTACAACTTCGTTAAAACAGCACCTTCTGCTAGATTGAGCGTTGTGAGCTCAACATGAACAATTTGAATTCATAATTACCGAAAGCAGGAGCTAAGTGCATTTTTGTCTTGTATTCTGGTTCGTAACGTCCGACTGGCTCATACGTGATTCGTGATAATTTTGACATTGCCAACAGGCATATGGTGTTTCTCGGGCAG